AAAAAAGAAGAAAATAAACATGCAGGTGAGGCTGAGGGGGGGGGGAGGTTTTCTTTAACTAAATGCAAAACAACCTGAATTTAAATGAGCAGTAAGTTCTTTCCTATGTCTGAAAATCTACTTTTGCTGTATTTATTTAGTGACTTTTAGGCAAAACAAATTTGACTAAAATCAGAATCTACAGACTACAGATTTTAAATGTTCAGCCAGAAAACGTCCCTTCAGTCTGTCGCATAGAATCCAAACAAAATTAATTGTGAATTTTTTTTTTTTTTTTGGGAAACCTCTAATGGCAGAAAACATGTTTTTTTTTTTTTTTTTTTTTCACTACAGTCTCCTCACAGGAGCAGTGGGAAATGGAAACATTTCTACTGCTTTTGTCAGTGAGTTGTAGTCAAACCACCGTTGCTAACTTGGGAAATTTTACGCTATACTTGGCAACTTTTCCAAACAAACTGAATTAGCAGGTCAGACTTTTAAATATCAGTGATTGGCCATAAAACTGCAATCGGTGCACCCCTAAACTTAATGCATTTCAACAAAAAACCAATTTACAACATAAGTTATCTCAATTAGACACCAATGCACTCAAGAAAACGGCCTAATCCCATCAATCTGAATGTTCTGGGCACCGATCAATGTAAATCTCCAGTCTTGTACTGATTTACTGCTTTCTTTCCATCAGCTGGCTGGGAAGTACGACCCACACAAGGAGGAGGAGCTGAGGCTGTGGATCGAGGACGTGACCGGCAAACGAATTGGAGAGAACTTCATGGAGAGTCTGAAGGACGGAGTGTTGTTGTGCGAGTGAGGCGCCGCCGGCTTTGGAGGCACAAAACTTTCCTAGTGTTCTGGTAAATATCCTCCTCCTAACTCAAGTTTTTCTTTTTTCTCCATTTGTAGACTCATTAACGTTCTACAGCCAGGTTCAGTGAGGAAGATCAACCACTCCAGTCAGAACTGGCACAAGGTACTGCAGCAGCAACACAACACACTTCTGTTCCCCCCGTTTTACTTTTCCTCTCACTCGGCTAACTCCACGTTCCGTCCTGACCACGTCCCCAGCTGGAAAACATCGGGAATTTTGTCCGCGCCATCACGGAGTACGGCCTGAAGCCGCACGACATCTTCGAGGCCAACGATCTATTTGAGAACGTCAACCACACGCAGGTTCAGTGTTCCCTCATCGCCCTGGCTGGAATGGTGAGACGCTTCAGTAGATCTTAATGTCAGTAAATTAGAATGTCATAAAAAAGGTTTATTTAATACAGGTGAAAATGTTTAAAGTATAAAATGGAGAACGGATAACCACAATTTGGCTTGTTGTGGTCATGTTGGCCACACGTAGTCACTAAAAAAGCTGCATCCATGCATTTTAATGGAAAGTTGAGTGGAAGGAAAGTGTAAGAAAGGTGCACAAGATTACAATTTTCCAGATGGTAGTCATTGAAGCCCTCCACGAGGAAGCAGAAGGTCATCACTGCTAAAAAAAAAATGGATGTTTGGAAAGCTAAATTCATATATTTTAATGGAAGGTTAAGTGGAAGGAAAAGGTGCATGAAATCACAATTGTCCAGATGTAAGCCATCCACAAACGGGGTAAATCACAGGTCATCACTAATGAAGCTGGCTGTTCAGAGAGCTGCAGCCATGTATTTTAATGGAAAGTTAAGTGGAAGGAAAAAGTGTGGTTGAAAAAGGTGCACAATTGACTAGAAAATCCAGTCGTGAGAGGAATATTGAAGTTCCTCTTTATTGGGCTTATGAAATATTATCTGAGAAAGTCCATCTTAAGTTTTTAATTTTTAGCAATAAATGAACAGAAATAAATGCTTGATGTATCACTATGGATCAATGCCTTTTTAATGGAAAGTTAATTTAACTTTTTGAAATAAATTATGTTTCTGATGTTTTTGGACACACTTGTAGGTCTGCATGTTGACTCTGACTGTTACACCAAAGACATTTAAAAGTTTCGTGTTTTTTCTCTTATCAGGCCAAATCTAAAGGTTTCCATTCAAAGTACGATCTGGGCGTCAAGTACGCTGAGAAGCAGCAGCGGTACTTTGCTCCCGAGAAGCTCAGGGAAGGACGGAACATCATCGGCCTGCAGGTTAGGAAGGACGAAGCGAGTCTACAAACATCCTGTACGCGTTTCGGTTTTAACTCGCAGCCAACGCTAACGTGTTTCTGTGTTTTCAGATGGGAACCAACAAGCTCGCTAGCCAGAAGGGCATGACCTCCTACGGTACACGACGCCATCTTTACGATGCCAAAATCGCCATGGATACCCCAGTGGACCAGTCTACAATCAGCCTACAAATGGGCACCAACAAGGGGGCCAGTCAGGTGAGGGGGAAAAAACCCCAACTAATTTAACTATTTGATTTTCATTTGTTTAAAAAAAAAATAAATAAATAAAAGTCTTAAGATTAAGAAAATTTTCACTTTCTGCAGATTTTTTATTCAACTCCCCGCCCCCCCAACAATAATATAAATGCATTAAAATTAATACCTTAGGGCTGCAACTAGTTATTTTAGTAATCGATTATTCTATCACTCATTCTGATTAATTAATTATATTATAAATTGGCACATGTTGCAGATTTTTCATTTAATCACTTAAGCCTATATCAAATAATAGAAATCCATTAAAATGCTAACTAATTAGCATTTTTAATGCTAACATGCATGTTTATTTGTAGATGCATCTCAAACTAAAAAAATGTCTAATTTTGATTAATTAATCTGATTAAATGTTTCAGCCGTAGCGTCAAACGTCGCAACTTTAAGGCTTCTTTACAAACCCCTTCATTTAACTCTGTCTTGCCGCCCCTCCTCCCCTCCAGGCTGGCATGATGGCACCAGGAACCAGGCGGCACATCTTCGACAAGAAGCTGCAGCTGGAGAAATGCGACACCTCCACCATCTCCCTGCAGATGGGCACCAACAAGGTGGCCTCCCAGCAGGGCATGACCACCTACGGCCTGCCGCGCCAGGTCTACGACACCAAATACTGCGCCAACCCCGTGGACACCTACTACAACAACGGCAGCGAGGCAGAGTTCGACGGCTACAACCAGTACTCTGACTAAAGAAGCCACGCCCCCACAGCCCCTCCCCTTCCCTTTGCTTTAACGCCAGACATCCCTCCACAGCTGTCTCTGCGACAAGCAAAGCCTCCAGACTCTAAATGACGTCGTGGCGTCATTAGTTCCCCCAATCGTTTTTTTCAAACATGTTTTTACGCCGAAGGATTTTATATTTTTGCTTTTCCATGAGCACGAGATAAAATAAAATGTTGTTTACACTGGCCTTGTGTCACAAAAAAAGGTCATGCTGTGGCTGACTTCTGTTGCCGTGGTTATTTGTAGAAAATACCCATGCTGCAAAAAGTAGAGATATATTGATCTTTGCTATTTATAGTTTTTTTTTTTTTTTTACTGCTTTTTTTTTTTATTCAGATTTTAACTCCTGGTACCCTTAACTTCTCGCTGTTGCCTTTCCAAACATGTTTGAACACTGATGGGAGTAGAATCAGGAAGTTGGTGCTATTGAACTTTGACCCAACCACATTAAAGGCTCCGCAGGCTGGAAGGAAAGTTTGGGAAGGAAACATCGGAGCCACAGATTGATCTGTAAAACGACAGATGCCGATCCAGCAACGTCGGCCATCAAACGGCGCTGACCTGTGTGGCTCGTTGGCGGCATTCGGGGTTCTGAGGAAGCGTTCGGAATGCTTTTCGGTCACAACTGTTCACCGCTTTCACAGAGGAACACACGTCTGTGTAATGATGTGTAGTTAGAGGTGTGGAGAACATATTTATCAGTAGTTTCTTGTATTGCACGCAAGTCCACTTAAGTCACCCTTTGTTTTGTCAGCAGTTTCCTTCTGTAGTTAATTTAGGCGTTGGTGTTGTTGCTTCACTTGCACTTGAGGTTTTGTGCAGAAAATGGTGGTGGAATGTTACAAGCTACAATTCAGAAATTACAAATAATTTAGTATCGCTACAGTGGCGCCTCGGGTTAACACAGTTAAAGAACCGCAACCATTAGCAATTTAGTAAAACCTGCAAATAACTGAGACTCCTCAAAAGTTTATAACTAAGGGCGCAACGATTGCAATATTTTGGCCGATCGACCATTAAGGAGCCTGACAATTTATTTTTTTTCCCCCTCTAAATGTAGTGACTAAGTTGGCAACAGTAGGGTGACTAATGTGACGTAGTGGCCAGATTTCCGTCTGCGCTCTCGCTGCAGAGAAATGGGGAAAGAGGCTGATTCTTAGACCTTTGCAGATGTAAATAAAACCCAAACGCATGTGCTGATTACCAAAATTAAGTAAATCTGAGTAAACCCCCCACCCCCACATCAAACTGCAACACATGGGGCCAAGCATGAAGAGCAGGTAGTGGGAACAACGTGCCACCATTCTCAAATCTGATTGGCTTACAGACGAGGGCTGAGCATCAGCAACGGCAACTAATGGAAAACTGGGCCTATAGAAATATTTATGATCACTTTATTGTAGGGTTGCAGATGCCACTCATTGTGATGCATTATCCAATTGGTTCAATTAATTGGCTGTATGACTAATGGAAGTACGCCATCTAGTGTCGCTTGCATGACTTATCAATCCACCACTTTTAAAATTGTTTTGCATTTACTGAATTCCAATTTAGTTGTTTTTTTATTATTTTTTTTGGATTGCATTAAACTGAATGTTTTCATGCGGTCGCCACAACAGCACTGATGTGGGTTTTGTTGTAAATAAACAGTTTCACCGTAAATTTCTGTTCCAGGATCGAGGCCAGGATCACTGTGCGCCTTTCACTAAAAGAAAAACAAAAAAAACTTTTGTGCAATAAAAACACTTGAAAATGCCAACTGTGATTTCATTGTTTTAATCACTGTCAGCACCTGAAGGTGTGGAATGCATCACAGTGGCGCGAAAACAGACGATTGTGAAACCACCGGGATAAAAAAGTTGGAAATTTTTTTTTTTTTTTTCAGTGCATCACTGATACAGGTTCTACAGAAACAAAAAACGGTAAAACACAATTATTAAACTTTAGAACATCAAAATAAAGTAAATGGCTGATTATTTAATGGGGAGGGGGGATATTTTAAGTGGAAAATCTCCAAGACAGTTTGGTCCATTAACAGGAAAAATAAAACATTTACCCAAAACAAATGGAGGCTACATACAAACGTGAAACATGTTTATATTTACATGTGACTGGGAAGTTGCTCCGACCAGAGGAATGTGACTCAGTCAGCAAGTGGAACTAAAAAGAATTTGACATGCTTCAGAGAAAAAGGGAAAAAAAAAACTAAACGTTTGGCTACATGAGGTGAACCCAGAGTGAGTCTCCGATGGAGGCGTGAGTTGTGGACATGACTACTGATTGGCCGCTTCGCAGGCGTCGATCCAGTCGCTGTAAACGTCCACGGGTTCAGAAAGATCTGCAGATGAGTCGCTGAGGAAGAAGATCCTGTTTGTGCTGATTTTTTTCATAACTTGTTTTCTGGAACATTTTCCTTAAAACCTGACATGGTTGGTATTTTTCCTCTTATGTTTTACAGGTGCTTAGCAGCACAGGAGCACCACAAGGCACTGTACTCTCACCATTTCTTTTCACTCTGCACACTTTAAGATCAAAGTGTTTTTGAATTTCAATGCTATTAAAGCAATATCAATTTACTATGAAAGATAATAAAATAAGGCATCTGAACAGTTGGTGGTGCTGTTGTGCTGCAGTGAGAAGGCTCTGGGTTGGAATCCCTGTCTGGAAACTGTCTGCATGGAGTCTCCATGTTTTCCCCAGGAATGGATTATTACTACAGCCCACAAACCTCACTGTAAAGTTAACTGGTCACTCTGTGACATTTGCGTCCAGTGTGAGCGTCCACTGCTGTAAGACTGTCCAACTGGCTAATTATTTACATGTCTTTGTAATCAAAGACATGTAAAATGCAAGTTCATAAAAGTTGGAATCTGTGAGAAAACAATTACTGTGCCCCAAACTGTCCTTGTGACATTGATATATTTGCAATAGAGCTTTTGTCTGAAATATGGAAAAACTATTTGAAAAGCTAACATATGCTTTAAGTAGCTCCTCCAATATTTTATGAACTCTAGTCTTCTAGAAGAACTGCGCTGTACTTTATTTTCTGCACAGTACACCTGTGATTAGGCCTGTCACGATAACAAATTTTGCTGGACAATTGTCTAAAAAATTATTGCGATAAACGATAATATTGTTTCAAGACCAGTTGACACTGATTTAATGGAAATGACTAATAATACATGTGATTTCCTGCCATAGATGGATGCACTTTATTTTCAAAAGAACACATAACACTGGAACTGATAAACTGAATCAGTTCCAGTGTTAATGGATTCTCAGTCTCCATTAACAAAAAACATACTTGAATAAAAACTAAACATAAAGCCAAAGTGGAAATAAATATTACATTCAACCAAAAGAGTGCAGATTATGAAGTCTGTATACTATATTGCCCTTTAGTGATCACTATATTTAAATAGAGAAGATGGGCACATCCGACTACCCAATGCAGTAGATCACACTACACGATTTTTTTTTGCCCCTATTTTCCCCTTAGGACAATCTAAGATCGTTGGCCGATCTAAGATTGTCTGTTGATTTCGTAACCGATCATCCTGCAGTGTGATTTAGATCGTTGTGGCCGCGCTGCCTGTTGAATGTGACAGGTAGCCAATCAGAAAGCGCAGATTCTCCTCCATGCTTTCTGAGGGGAAATTACGGAGGGAAATCCCAAACAGCTGACACGGCGCAATCCGAAGTCCAGCGGACATCGGAGATGATATGTGGAAACAACATTAATGTTTATTCAACATTTCGTGCAAAGAATATAGAAATTACAAGGGAATGAGTTAGAGCCAAATTGCTACCGCAGTTGATAAACCCGGTAATGTTTCAGCTGTTCTTCGTTAACGTGACATAAATAGGTTATAATGATTTTCATTCAGTCAGAACTTTATGCTGACTCTAGCCACATGCATCACAGGTAGATTCTAGTAAAGCATTGATTAATGCCCAATTTTAAAATTAGTTAACTGGACTTGTAGCCATTATTTTGTGCCCAGGTGGCTGGACACCACACGGCACGACGAACCCGATCGAACCGTTATACCTAGGATTTCTGTTGGCTAATGTGTGATCTCTCAGGTTTTGAAAATA